CTTTGTTTGTGCTTTATTTGCTGAGTCCTTTAGATGTCAAGCATGTTGTAAGTGAAGTGTGTTTAGAGCCTTTTCCTCAACTATTTGGTCCTTGAATGTTATTGATTCCAGGCATGAGAAAAGAAAGATAGACTGAGGCATTTTGGTGGTGATTTTCTTTGGCTCTATTGTTTTGGTGTATGTTATGAATGTTGTTGAACCTTAGTGCCTTATTTATGCTGAATTTAAGTTCATTTCAGAGCTGGTTGGGCATTATGTTTTCAGTCAATTGAAGTGTTTAAATGAGAGTTAGAAGTTTTGTGTGCCTTGTCTTTTTAAACTGCCTTTATCTAATTTATTTATTTGCCATACCTGCCTTATTTGTCTTATTTGTTTGTTTGATTAATTGTTTGTTTGCCTTGCCTGTTTTTGTACCTTAATCAACCCTATAAAAACCAGTAATAAATTCTTGAAATGATTTGCGAAAAATAAATTCTGATTTTTGAAAAATATTCGGTATTTTTCTTTTAAAAATAACTGGGCGTTACAGAAAATGAGTCAGCAAGTAGAAAAGGAAGAAAATAAAGGGCATATTCCAATTAGCCAGAGGCCCGAATGGGCGGATATAGTGCCTGTACCACAAGACGACGGCCTGAATCCAGTGGTGCCAATTGCTTACACTGACGAGTTCAGTGAAACCATGGATTACTTTAGAGCCGTGTACTTGGCCGATGAGCGATCCCCACGTGCACTTGAACTCACTAAAGAAGCCATTCTTCTCAATTCAGGAAACTACACTGTAATGGTCGTCTTCCTATATTGCTACTTTATTTATTCCTTTCATTAGTTTTTCGACTGAGGCTATAAATAAAGAAAGCTTATGAGTATATTTGATTCAATTTTCACTTATACTCTTGTTGACCATGCTGGAGAAATAGGAAAAATGGCCTTTGATATGATTTTTGTTGGTTTATGGTGTTAGTGATGTATACAGGCTTATTTCGTTCGTCCTTTCATCCTTTTTCCAGTTGGTGACCTTTTCTGGGGAGGTAGTGGTGGTTGGTTTACGTAACATGAGAAATTACGTAACATCCTTGGTTTATCAAGAACTGTTTCTTATCTATCGCGACATGGAATAACATGACAAAACTTCTCATTATGCAAGAGAGGAATGTTTATGGTCATGGCTGATTTGACGATTTTTTTTATTGGATGTCCCTGGTGTTAGGTCCTTGATGATGTTTGCCCGTTTCTTTTAGGTTTGGCAATTTAGACGTCTAATACTTGAGGCATGTAATACTAATCTACATGAAGAATTGCATTTTGTTGAGGGGATTGCTAGAGACAATTCCAAAAACTATCAATTATGGTAAGCAATGTTATTTTATATACATCTTTTCCAACCTGCCAATTGAAGTGTGCTTGTGCATGTTTTGTTCACTAACTGAGACAATTTTGGCAGAGACGCATAAAGACATTCCATTCTGTTAACCTTTTTTTTTTCTTCTTTTTTTTTTGGGAATTGACACTTAATAATGTGCTATTTAAGTTAACCTGAATTGATTTTGCATTTTTAGGCACCACCGGCGGTGGGTTTCTGAGAAGCTTGGGACTTGTATAGCGGGTAAGGAGCTTGAGTTCACAAGAGAAATCTTGTTTAAGGATGCAAAGAACTATCATGCCTGGTCCCATAGGCAGGTGGGGTGGAATCCAATTTTCCACTATTTAGGATTCAAAAAAATATATATTTAACTTGCATTAAGCAGCAAATTTTTGTTTTCAGGACTCATTTTTTTTGATTCTATCCACATTCCTTATTTACTGTATAATTTCTTCTCTTTTTGCAGTGGGTTCTTCAGGCTCTGGGAGGATGGGAAGATGAGCTTGCCTATTGTGATGAACTCCTTGATGATGATATCTTCAATAATTCTGCTTGGAATCAGGTATTGTTCCCCTTTTTTTTCTTTTTCAATCTGTGATGCTTTTGTACAGTTTAGTTGCAAGTGGACATTACCGAACATACGCCATGGTCAATATGTTGAGGGTTTAGTTTGTTTTCACGTAATAACGTGTCCTCATCAATTAATGCAGCAGGTTCTTAACGTGTTTACTGTTTGAAACAACACCAAGATTGCTGCCGAATGTATAGATCGCAAGATCTGAAAGCTGCATAGGATTTTGTTTGTACTTTGCATACGGAAGGCGAAGTTGAATTTTAGTGGCAAAAGAGATGAAGAAACATACAGTGCATGATAGCTTAGGTGTATGGGATAGGTTAAAAATTGACATTAAAAAATCAAATGATGGAGGTATAAAGAAACAAGCCTAGTGGGTTAGTTCTCTACAAACTAATTTTTCTATTTAACAATAACCCATTTGTCATACAAATGATCGGATTTTCCACTCAGGCCTCTTATCCCATGAATCCCAAAGTTAAATTCAAATGTTCGGATTTTCCACTCAGGCTTCTTATCCCATGAATCCCAAAGTTACAAATTATTTTTAATTCCCACTTTCTGGCTTACAGTCTTGTCTTGTTTAACTTGAAAGTATGGGTAGCCTTTGTTTTCTTGTTGGCTAACTTTTGGTGCTTAATCTCCTCTGCCATTTTATTCATTTGCAGAGATACTTTGTCATAACTCGATCTCCATTCCACGGCGGTTTACAGGCCATGCGGGACCCCGAAGTTGATTATGCTATTAAAGCCATTTTAGCCAAGCCCGAAAACGAGAGCTCATGGAGATACCTGCTGGGGCTCTACAAAAATGATCCTAAATCCATAGCCAATGATCCTCATGTAGAATCGATCTGTGTGGATGTTTTGAAGGGCAAAAGAGAGTATGTTCACGCATTGAAGGTGGTTTTGGATCTCCTCGGCTGCCACGACTACAAACCAAGCAGTGAATTGAAGAACGCTATTGATGAAGTGTTGTCTGACCAGAACCTGAACACGGGTTTGGATTTTGTAGAAAAAGTGTGTTCAGTTTTGCAATTGGCTGATCCGATGAGAGCAAACTATTGGGAGTGGCGCAGGAGCACTATTCTTGTTCAGCCTTAAAATTACTTGGTTTTGCGTGGTGAACGCTATTGAGTGTTGTTCGTTATTTGGTAAATTCTGCCATTTTGTCCTTTTATTGTGCGAGCTGCGGTGAAAACTATAACTTCTCAGTTCTCCGGACTTGGTCAAATATTGATAATGGTAAAAAGAAAAAAAAAAAATTAATCGTGTTAATTCATTTGGTCTTCTAACTCATTTAGATTCAGATTTTATATCTTTGCACGTTATAATCCTTTCTATTAACATGTATGTATTGTTTTATTATACTCACTAGTAAGCACCCAGTGTGACGGACAAATTTGTACCTTAAAATCTTAATATATATATAGATTTTAAATATATTAGTTTGGTGACTTGTTTATATTAATGTAAATAATATTTTAACACATATATATATAAGTGTTCATACATAAAGAAATATAATAATTTTACATATTTTTTTCATCATAATGATCAAATATTACTTTTAAGTTCTAACAATAGTATTATTTTTTTTCACAAATATTCACTTTTTATCCAAAAATATTTATAGAAAATCATGATATGTTATATAGAATTTTTTCTTCCAATTAATAAGGCGAAATCAAGTTGGTGAACTAATCTTCCCAATATATTTTTTAAACTTTATTTCATTATATAAAAAAATAAATTATTCTTCAAATTAATATAATTTACCATTTAAGAGATAATCAATAGATACATTAAACAGTTTTATTAATGGTAAAAAATTAAAATAGAAATATATTAAATGTTTTTTACAATTTATTTGTATATTACGGCAACCATAATTATTTTTTTAACTTTTTTTTTATTTTGATTTATTTCTATAACGAAATTCTTGAAAAAAAATTCATTGCAGAGTATGCTAAATAAACTATAAATCCTTATAATGTAGATTAGAAAAATCTTTATTATAAAAGTGACTGAAGTTTTGGCATTTGCAAAATCAAAATTGTTTAATTAGTAATACAAATATAAATTCTAGAAATTTTTATGTTATTTTGTAAAATATTTATACATAATTTAATATTAAATTTTTTACATATTTTAAATTGATTACTTGAATAATAATCTAACGTGCATTAAATATTTTTCATTACATAAAATAAAAAGAAAAAGAAGACGTACAACTTATATAACTTTTATAAATAATAACGACATTATATGACAAAGATGTTTATAATATTATATGATGAACAAGAATAAGTAAAACTGTTATTTTCTCTTATATCAAGGAATAAATATGTATACTAAAATCAAATTTATATTAGAATAAATGTATTAGTGATATATTATATATTCATTATTTTACAAGTTTGCTCTAACATGCTCATATTTATTAATGTTCTAGCTAAAAAACAACGATGATTAAAATAGATGAAAAATATATTATAACTATATTATTTTTTAGACTTAACGCTGATTGAAATAGATAGAAAATAAATTATAACCTGCTGTTTTTAGATTTAAACGGACAAATCATGTGGAAATAATTCATCTAATATCTATGTTTGTGCATCGCATGGGTATGTCCTTGTTTCTAATAATTGGTGGGTATAATTGTTTGTTAAAAAAGCTGAAGCAAATGACTGCAACGTAATTGTGGAGCTAGTTACGACATGCGAAACTTGTTGAAAATCGAATCAAATTATTATCGGAACGTAATTCTACACTTAAGACTTTCTGTGTGTGTGTGTGTGTGTTTTTTTTTTTCTTTTTTTTTTTTGGCTTTAGTTCAAAATAGATGACGCCTTGATTCATGTCAACATGTGCTAAAGTGTGTGTGCTCGTTTCTTTAACACAATTCCAAAAAATTCTAAAATTTCATATGTACTATGATTAAATATGGTTGAATTTTTGTCAACACCTGCTAACTATAGAATGAAAAGCTAAACCTAAGATGAACACTCGAAACTAACTTGAAAACTTAATAATAATAATGATAACTATAGAATCTATCCAATCATGAGTGCCACCGAAAACAATTGCGCTTGCCGAGCAACTCGCGCACCAACCACCCAGACATTATCCCGTAACCCTCTTGCGTCAAGTGTATCCCGTCCCAACTCACGAACCAATTCGCATTCCTACAAACCGGAACTCCGTGGGCCCCACACATGCTCGTCATGTTGAAATTGTACTTCCCTCCCGTCCCACAACAAGCTCTTTCCGAATCGAGACCTTGCACAAAAAAAAAAAGGTCGAATTCCAAAACATCAAATTACTTAATTTGTCGATTGAAGCTATATATAATTTGTGATTTGTGTGTGTTTTACGCGTTGTACCATGATGTCTGGCGAAATGTAGGAGGAGCTCGTAAGCATTGTAATAATCCACGTACATGATTTGTGCATTCGACTTCTCTTCTTGAATCATCCGGTTAATCCCGTTCTGCAGCTCCCGATTGTGGTACACTGCAAACTCATTTAGTTGCTTGAGGCATTGGTTATTGTCGTAATCCGACGAATTGTTTGTTTGGAAGGCAGTTTTGTAAATCGGGAGGCAGCCGATCGGGAAGTTACCGGGCACAACAACTCTCTTTGCCCCCAGATCAATTGTTCTCTAGAAAAATTGGTAAGAAAAATAAATAAACAGAACCAACCTTAAGTAAAATTATTTCCTTTCTCCCTTAAAACAAAAACATATGTCCAAAATCTTGTTTATTTTTTTTTTTTTGGGTTAATTGCCAATTAAACCTTGACCTTTTCATTTTTGGCAATTTAATCCAACCTTTTAGATAAATGCAATTGTTAATACCCAATTTTAGCCTCGCCTATTAAAATATTATACTTGGATATGTATTATCAATTGTTTTATTTTAGGGCCCACAAATAACACCGCTTGTAATAATAACGGGCCCACCAAAAAATATATATATACACCCCAATGATGGACGTCAGGCAGATAAGTCTGAGGGGCTATGATTACTTCTTTCCTCCTGATACTCATTTCTTCTCGGACATAAAGAAAACTCATAAAAAAAAGATGGGCCTTCTTCTTCAATTTCTCTTTATTGATTTACACAAAGATTACATACAAGTTTCAAGAAATTCGACATATTCGATATATACGAAAAATTTTTCGAATACTCCATGTTGATACAAAATCGCATATCAACAGTTTGGCGCTAGAAGGATGGCCCGTAATTGATTCGGAGTTATTCTTCGCTGATACACGATCACATCTCTACCCGAAAGAAGATGATTCCAAGATAAGATTATTCATAATCCTATTCTATTCTTTCTGTATTCAGTGTTCTGCTCATCAGAAAATCATACATATTCCCATGTACAAGTTTATTTCCTTTCCCAGTATAAGCTTGCGTTGAAACAAAAAAAAAAAGTAATATATTATGAGACTTTAGCCCTCGATATTATCTGGTCCCTGCATCAAACAATTTTGAAGACCAAACTTATCTTATACCTAAGATCCAATATTTTCTTCCCGGGAAATTCTATGAATATATGTTCTTCAACCTGTCCAAAGGCCGTTCTATTTTTCTTGGAAGTGAAGTCGCTTGCAGATATTTTCAAGTCCCGCTGAAAACCCTCGTAATTCATTTGAGGGAAACATAACAAAATTCTGCAAGAAAACAAAGAGTTGTAGAAGATGTGAGAAGAAAGAGACAAAGCTTGGACAAGAATTTGCCACGTCACCTCGACGTCCTAGTCGCAACTCAGACTTTCACATAATCACGAAGAAGGTGAATAGCGGCGCCGACATCAATTTTCTTTGTACCAGAATTGGCCACGTCACATAGACGTCTTAGCCGCAAACAAGCCACAAACAACTCAGTCTCATATCCGTGAAAAAGTCGGCGCCAACATAAAATTGTTTTGGGTCAGAATTGGCCACGTCATCTTGACGTCCTCGTCACAACTCCAACTTTCACTTCGTATGGGAGCAACCTTGGGAACCGTCGGTGCCTTAATCATGTAATTCGGAACCGACCTCGATTTCTTCAGAAACACACAACTTTCGCAATCGACCTTGAATTGTTGGGACATCATAAAGCCGAACCAAATTCACAGTTGGGTCCCCGAACCTCATAGCGGGGCCGAGTTCGCATCTTCGATCACATGACGATCCTCAGCAGTAGATGGTTTCTGAAGAAAGACCGCTGGTACCGACCCCGCGGGCTCACGCCGACCTCAACATCCCGTCACTTATTTCAAAGTTGGGGCCAAGTCGGGACCAACACCGACCTCATGACTAACAAAGCGACCTCGGGACTTCGGCATCCTCAACATCACAAAACCACCGAGCCCGACTTACCTCAGAGCTCAATTCTGCCGACCAAGTTCGACCTCTACGTCTCCAACATCAAACTCCGACTAACTGTTGGGGCCCGATTTCACAGCAGTTGGTCTCTGAATCAGGACCCGACTTGACCACGACCGACTTCACGAGCCTATATCAATCTCACTTTCATCGACCACCAAACTGGCATGCTCACCTCCGATTTCAGTCGTCGGGGTTTACTTCGCCATCTCCAATCTTCAAAACCGATATGCTCAATTCGGTCCCAAATCTCCAAACCACCGACCGCAACTCGGGATCAGACAACCGACGTCACGAGCAAACACCAACCTCGGTCTGGGTCACAGACCGACATCACAAGCTGTCGATACCGACTTCACCACTGACGGTGGGAACCGACCTTTCAACAGATCGGCCCGACTTCGACATCTCACTCTTCAACAGACCGAGCCTGATTTCGATGTTTTCACATGCCGACCTCACTCTCGTCGGTCTTCAAATCATACTGGGTCGAACCTCCATTACCAGATCACTGCAATTAACCTCACAACCATCAAATACAATTGAAGATATGGTAATTTTCTTTCAATTATAATAGCCTCATCTATCCGTCGCTATATCGTGCTTGTCGGTGATTTTTTGAGGAATACTGCGAAAGAGAAGTCTGTAGAACTAAGCGAGAATTAGATGTTTAATGACGGTGTCCCCTAATTTTTACTCTATTTGGGCCTCAATTTAAAGTTAGCCCAAACATTAAAAAAAAATGGGAAGAAGAAAAGAAAAGGAGAGGGGGACCGAGTTTATCTATTGAAGCCGACAAGGAGTTATACCAAGTTTACTCATTCGTACCAACGATAGCTGGGGCCGGTTTTATTTATCAACACCAGGGCCTAATTCACTTATCCATGCCGGGGCCAAATTTATTTACCTGTGACGGGTCCGAATTCATTTATCTAGATCAATGCCAAATTCATTTATCAACGTCGGAGCTGATTTCACTTATCTATACCGAGACCGAATTTGGTTTTTGACGTTGGAGTTGACTTCATTTATTTATGACGGGGATGAATTCATTCATATATACTGGACCCGGAGCCACTCATTCACGCCCAGAGCCATTTCGACCCACTCATTTACATTGAGGCTGATCATCTCTTTTACCCGTCGCTATATTTTGCTCGTCGTTGAGTCTCGACTCCGGCTGAGCCAACGTCACTATTTGCTCGCCGTTGAGCCTCGACTCTGGCTGAGCTGACGTCCCTATTTGGTCGCTGTTGAGCCTCGACTCCGGTTGAGCCGACGTCCCTATTTGCTCGCCGTTGAGCCTCGACTCCGGCTGAGGCGACGTCCATACTTTCTCGTCGTAGAGTCTCGACTCCGGCTGAGCCAACGTCCATATTTTCTCGCCGTTGAGCCTCGACTCCGGCTGAGCCGACGTCCCTACTTTCTCGCTGTAGAGCCTCGACTCCGGCTGAGCCGACGTCCCTACTTTCTTGCCGTAGAGTCTCGACTCCGGCTGAGCCGACGTCCCTACTTCCTCGCCGTAGAGCCTCGACTCCGGCCGAGCCGACGTCCATATTTTCTCGCCGTAGAGCCTTGACTCTGGCTGAGCCGACGTCCATATTTTCTCGTGTTGAGCCTCCACTTCGGCTGAGACGACGTCCCTATTTTCTCGTCGTTGAGCCTCGACTCCGGCTGAGCGGAAGTCTATATTTTCCTACGTTGAGCCTCTGCTCCGTATTGTCCTACCGTCGAGCCCCTGCTCCGGCCGCAAAAATGAATTATCACAACAAAATCCCAGCAACAGCTCGGTACCGATGTAAACATTATGACACTCGGTTTTGGTGACGCCTCGTAATACATCCAAATCCCACGTATGGTTTGGTTGGGCTAAAGCTCGTCCACGTCACTTCAGCGAACATGATTTGACAAGGTCTCATTGACAGCCGAGCACACTTGGTTCGGTTGAGGCCGTTCCGTAATCGAACCGTGACGAAGTTCGGTGACCCTTTTATAGCTGACGCCTTGTAATACATCCAAATCCCACGTATGGTTTGGTTGGGCTAAAGCTCGTCCACGTCACTTCAGCGAACATGATTTGACAAGGTCTCATTGACAGCCGAGCATACTTGGTTCGGTTTAGGCCGTTCCGTAATCGAACCGTGACGAAGTTCGGTGACCCTTATTTTTTCAACTTAAACACAGCCTGAATAGTGTCGAGTATTGCAAGTTCAAAACAGCTTGCTTGTCGGTTCTCCATACTACCGACTTTCTAGAATATGACATCAGACTCAGCACAGGAATTCAGACTAGACAAAATATCGAGGTATCCTTATTTATCGTACATTAATCATTTACTGCACATGCGCACTACGCATCGGCATACTTAGTAATGCATCCATACATTCATACGCGCGTCACACATACATTCATTACATATGCGCATCATACATACATCTTGACATCCAAATCAAAAGAATACAATAAACCAAACTCCTTCATCTGTTTGGGCCCACACTGGTTAGGCAAAGTCAATAAGACCTTCCCGGCTGAGAAATATGCGAAAGAAAAAATCATTACACCGAATTCTTCAGCTCAGTATGATGAAGCCTTTACTTACACCAAGTTATTCAACTTGGTAAGCTGATACCCATGCCTTTACCGAACTCTTTAGTTCGGTAGACTAAAATCTTTATTTTTACCAAGTTCTTCAGCTTGGTAGGGCTAGAAAGTCCATTCGTAACCAAGTTCTTCAACTCGGTGGGCAAATATATCATATCGATAACATCTTTGCATAAAGATCGATAGCAAAACAAGGGGCCCGAGTGCCCGCACCAGCTCAAATCTATACTATTATGATCATTTCAGACGCAAATTCATCCAACGCGTCCTATTACACACGAAAACCGAGTACCGAATTACCCGACCAGGCCAACCAGGCCCATTCATATAGCATTTTCACATATTTGACTATCCACGCAGTCGACTCCACTCGTCAGAACAAAAAACACGATTACCGTCAATACGACAGGCCAAATCCTAAGCACGACCAGAAATTTGGCTCCACGGGTCCCAAAGTACCCGGCCAACATCGATACATTATTTATCACAGCTAAATTGGCTATACACGTGACTTCAGAACAGTTCTATTCAGAACATGTCCTAAAGTCAGGGGCCTACTGTTAATACACAATTTTGGCCTCGCCTATTAAAATATTACACGTGGATATGTATTATATCAATTGTTTTATTTTAGGGCCCACAAATAACACCGCTTGTAATAATAACGGGCCCACCAACACATATATATATACCCCAATGATGGACGTCAGACATATAGGTCTGAGGGGCTGTTGTTATTTTTCTCTTCCTAATCCTCTATGTGTTTTCCCTCACAAGAAGAAAGTACACATACAAAGTTTGTTCTTCTTTAGTTTCTTTTTGCTCGATTTAGACAAAATTACATACAAAATATCAAGAAATTCGACGTATTCGATATATACGAACAATATTCTTAACACCCCATGTTGATAAAAAATGGCATATCAACACTCACCACCATGCACATGAACAATAATCAGGTACATGAAATTAAATGGCATAGTCGCAGTATGAACATAATCATTAAACATCCCATCTCCTACCCAAAGTCATAAATAATTCTCATGTGCGCACCTATAACAATAGACTGCTGCTCGTATGCCTTTCGGTGAACATAAATGGGGTGCCCAAACAGCAGGAGGCTCAACCGTCATAGTACGCACCTAGTGCTTGGACAGAATATCCATCACCGGCCAGGGCACATTGCCAAGGTCTTACAGATGACGTGGTCCTTAACAATGGACAAACGTGGAGATTACCCTTGCGGGGTATGTTTTATAGCTACGGGGATAACCGTTCGACGGCCGGTACAACACACATCGAAGGTTACATGTTCACATGCATACATTGATCATACCCACATAAATAAAACATTTAACATTCAAGGCATCAATAATTTGAATAACACCACCTAGTCGAAAGCGAAGGAAAGCACAAACAATAAAGGGGTAGGCGGCAAGCTCGGGTCGTCAAACACCTACAACAAGTCATGATACTACACTCAATATCTTATCTTGACCTTAAGAGAAGCACACAAATCATACTTATTCGAATTTGTACGGGCTTATGAGAGAGTACGGGCTTCCCCTCGGATGACGTATAATCGAATTTGTACGAACTCAGGATCGAGAAATGGGATTCACTTAGAATGTATTATTTATAACTCCCCTCGGGGTCCCTGAATTTATTCCATGGCTAA